TACAAATATTTTGCATGGCAAAAGTCAACGTACAAAGTACTTTTAACTTTGTTTCATAAATAACTTCTCCAAATTTAGGCAGCCATAATTTCTCATGTTTGTGGTAGTAAAAGCATGGATTTTTCTCATTCATTTGTACCAAAAATACCTAGAATAAAAATGGTTCTAAAACTTCCAGACATTTTGTCTGAATTGATGGATTGAAATTAACTAAACAAATATTTTCAGATTTTGTTGGAAATGAGATCAATTTTAATATAAACAACCAGAAATAAATTTTTAATGAATGCTGTAGTAAAGTTTAATATTCATGTCAGGCCACACAGGGACATTTTCAAAACCTATACAAGTTTTAATACCTGCTGATATAATTCTTCTTATTAAACATCCTCATTATTTATTTGCTCAGAAATATATTCACCTTGGATGCTGCAGAAAATCTCTGCCATTATTTTAAGAAATTGATGACACTTAGTAATGAATGTCGATGTGCGCATGAACAAGGTATCACCAAGAGAGGTGGATCAGAAGCCCAGCAAAATCATCTGGCTCCTACAAACAGTGACAGCATACTGCAAAACACAGTCCTTTACTCTTGTGCAAATGAACATAAACTGGATTCACCAGGTATATCTGAAAAATGGAAAGAATCTGGCACTAGTCACTCCCCATTAACCAGCCTCTCCTTATCTGAAGATACTGAAGGAAGAAATCATTCAGAAATAGTAGGCGAGAAAAAAGAAGACATCAAGGCAAGCAGTATCCCCACCAAAATGGTCCCATTCATGGAAACAGTCATGACAAGGTGTCTGCTGGAGAACTGCCAAAATGTTGAACATCCTGAAAAAATGTAAGATTTATAGATCATTTTTCTTTTGCAGTTGTATTTTATTATTTTTTGGCTTAGTCATTATTACCAAATGGTAACTGGGTAAAGGACTTAATCAGTATTATATTTCATGTTAATTCCCTTAATTATGTTTTTATGACACGTACAAATTATTAACTACAGTGCAGATTAACTTGGTTGAATTTTGACAGGTTCTGGTTTAATTGACTATTTGATTTAAAATGAGTACGTGTGAAATTATTTTTTCTGCCCTCTAGTCTCTAAATAATTAAAATGAATTTTAAGGAGAAAAGAAATAACCACATTATTCTAAAAAATACTATAAAGACCTCTCACATGACAGTCTTATGACATGCTTCCAGGGAAGGTCAGAAAATTTTTCCTGAACGTGCCTTTTCTCAAATTCCTTCAGCTTAAAATAGTCAGTATGCCAAGGCACCATATTTGGGTAATGTTAACCAGGACACCCCAGATATTTCCTATTTGAATCCTATTAGCTCCAAACACTCCAGACCTTGCTCATGAAATTTCAGACAAATAACATTTAGAATTTCTTAATCCATGATAAATAAAATAGCCAAATGATAATAATAAGGAAGGATGAAGGACTGAAAATACACACATACCAAAAATCTAAAGAATAAAGGGAAAGGAAAATGTCTATCCACTTGCCGAACCTTGCCATTCAGTGATTCAGGAAGATTCACCGTCATTGTGTAGGTGTTTCCTAAGTATGATTTATATGTGTTCTTATGCTAAGGGCATTTTTATCATCATTATTTTTCCAAAAAAGAGATGATGATGATGATGACGATGATGATGATGGTGGTGGTGATGACTGTTATAATCTGAGCTGCTTTTCTCAACATGGAGAGCACCCTCCATTAAGGAAGCCCTAAAGTCAGCTTCTCTACCTGATTTCACTGCCTTCTGCATGATGAAAAGCATGGTGTCACTGAGGAAAGTTTCCCTCATCTATCTCTTTATTTTCTCCCTTGGGAAATTTTGATGATAGTGGGCCAAGGAATTCAAGCACTCAAAGACTAGTCAGCTTTACAAGAAAGTCACCATTCCAGTCAGTGAAACTTGTATGTATCTGTAGAGAAATAAAAGATGCTGTCTCAGGTTAAATGTGTTTCCTTACAACCTTTCATTCTTTACCAGTTATACATTACAAATACATTTTCAGATGTTTTTCTTTATCACCTAAATACATATTATAGTGCCTTAAAATTCCCTAACTCTTTTTTGTTCAAAAGATGAAGGAATGAGTTAATGGTTAAATAACCAAACATGAATTAATTCCATAGCAAAATCTGCTAAGTTCTGTTTACCCTAGAAGGAGGAGAAGATTTGTTGAAATACATTTTTCCCATTTATTAGAAGTACGAGGAGTTTATTTTAAGCAAGAAAGAAGTTTTATCCACTAACTTTAATTTTCTATTCATAGCCAAATAGATTGAAGGCTTTCTCAGGCTTTAGGTAAATGGTGATGATGATGATAACAACATTAATAACAATAGAAAAATAGTACCTCATTCCTTTCTAATCTCCCACAAATATATTTCTATGAGAAAAAAAATGTATGGTCATGCCTGGCAGTTTATCACTTAATTCCACTTTGCCTTAAAGTCACTGTTATGAGGAATGAAAAAAAATCCATTGGGTTTGGCAATTATAAAATTATTGAAAACTGTTTCAAGGGAGCCCGAGGAAGGTGGATATGCAAGAGTCACTTGTCCTTTGGATGCCTTTTAAACTAAACTCGGAAGTTTGAAGGGCGATCAAGACAATAATTAGCACTTTGACTGTACTCTGTATCTTGGTAATATTCCTGCAATAATCTGCATGGGGAAAGGAAAACATACAATTACAAAGAGTTAAATGATCAAGCAAACTGAGAACCCACTGAAAGTTAATGTACATGATTAGTCAGACTTTGCTAGTGTTGCTGGGGGAGCCTCTGGGGATGTGAGAAAAACACAGTGTTGATTGATTCTGTACCTGAAACTGGCAAATAGATGTAGGCTGGAAAAATGTTAGAATTTACTACTGGGCTTGTAAGGGTGTGATTTAAATATTTGTCCATGGGTAGGGAGCAGAGTGTAGCTAGCAAGACCTGATGGGTCCTTTTACAGTGAAGTGGGACCCTCCTTCCTCTCAAAACCTAATCTCTTCGCTGTGAACAAGGTCCCATCCTATCTTGCCAACTCAACACTGGCTCCTACATTTGTCCCCCTCTTTTGCATCGCCACTCCCCCCTCCCCTACTGGTTCAGCATCTTCAGTATCATACAAAATCTCAGTAATACCTTCTTCCTTAAGAGAAACAGACAAAAATCCCCAGTACTCATACCCCTCTCTAAGTTAACTGGCCCATCTCTCTTCTTCAAATTTGAAGGTTTCATACCATTTTTACTTCTGTGACTATTGTTAAAAAAAAAAATGGGTCTTATTTTTAAATAATACTTTATATAGTCTATGTTTGTAAGTAAATATAGCTTATGAGGACCTCTTATCTAAAACTGTGTCTTTACGGGTAATAAATTTTTTTTCTCCTCCAAATAGTGTGGCAGCTCTGGTAATCCAGGCATACTGGCGTGGTTACACTGTGCGCAGACAGGTTCATCTCTCTACAAAGCTACGTACTGCTGCAGTAGGACCTCTGACATCCCCGCCAAATTCCTGCATCGAAAATCAAACAATTTTAAAGAAAGAAGAAATAAAAAACACTGTGAATATCCTAGAACAGAGGGAGAAGGCTGCTATTCTTATTCAGGTTAGTTTTAATCTTTTGGTAAAATAATCAATCATGAGAGATGTATTAGTTATCTTTCACTGGGTTATTCTGTGTAACAGGCAATCCCCAAATCTTAGTGGTTTTCAAATACATGGACATATTTCTTATTCACGTGACCTGCAGGCTGCAGGCTGGCTGTGCTTCTGCCTGGTATCTAGGCTGAAGGAGTCGTCTGTAATTTGTAAATACTGTTCTTATGACTGAGGGTCAAGCTGGACCACGCAATCATATTAAAACTTCCCTTCAGATGTGTCAGTTGCCACATTTGCCGCTAACATTTGATTAGTTAAAGCAGGTCTCACATAACATTGTAAACTGACTATACTGTAATTAAAAAAAAGCAGGTCTCACTTGGCCTAATCTATAGCTATTTCTAGCAGCATGTTGAAAAATCTACTAAAATAATTGTTAAAGTCCTTCAAATACCTATTTAACTTAAAAATTCAGAAAGCAACCAGTGAATAGTCTTGATTCAGCCTCACCAAGACCAGATTTCAAAATAACATTCCATCTAATCACATTCTTCCTTTTATTTATTCACTCATCAAATATTTTTTAGAACGTGCTGTTTGTCAAGCACTATTTTAGCCTCCGGAGACATAACTGGGAACAAAACATACAAAATCTCTTCCCTCATGGAGTTTGTGTCCTGGTGGAAGAAGCAGACAAATTAAATAAGTACATAAAATAAGGTCTGGAAATTCATAGTACTACACCTGAATTGAATGATAATAACTAAAAAAAAAATTTGTGTTTCCCTTTATTCATTCATTTAGTGACTATGACTTGACACAAAATTTTACTAGCTTACATTCTGTTTGGATCTGCAGATAAATCAGATAATATGTTACTGATAAGTACTAAGAGGAAAGATAAAGAAGGAAAAGCAAGATAGGAGGATCAAAGGAAAATTAATCATGTTAGGCAGGATGGATGTGGAAGCCCAGGAAAGGCGGCACTGCAGCAAGAGATAAGCCATGGGACACCTGGGGGAAGAATATTCTAGGCAGCAGAGTATCAGATTCAAGGGCACTGATTTAGGACTATACCCGCAGCGCTTACAGAGCAGTAGGAAGTTGCAGAGTGCTGCAGCAGAAGTGGTAAGAAAATCACATTCCAGAATATATGTGGACTTATCTTGAAGGTATACGTATATACTCTGAAGGTTGAGCTGATGGTATTAGTACGTGGGGATATGGTTTTTGAAAGACAGGGAGGAGTCAGTGATGCCTCCAAGGTATTGGCATAAGCAACTGGAAAGACAGCCTTAAAATTAAGTTGCTGGGTTTTGCCATTAAAGCCATAAATTTCAAGAGAATTATCTTTGCTATGGTTCTAATGAATATATTTATTGTTTCAGTTGACTTAGCTTGGACTGTACTCCTCAGGGCAATGCATAGACAAAGCTGTTACTGATGCCTGAATGGTGCTGGGAGTGGAGGGAGGGCAATGGATTCAAGGAAACGCTGAGGAAAAGAAAGGAACCTCAGTTACCATCTCAAAATATTGTTCTGCTACATGGGGAATGAAAATGTCACACAGCCCAAACTCCCTCCTGTCATCAGTGGATGAGCAATACATTTTGCAGCATTGATAGTAAATGGATATTAAACTTTTGCTTCCTTCCATTCAATAAAGCGAAGTTCATTAGTTTATGATTAACAGTCTCGTTCAGTGACTGATATATCTGTTGAATGTCCTTTTGTTAAGTTTGTCTCTGTAACAAAGGTAAGCATAATTCAGCCTTCCTTTGCAACTTAGAACAAGTCTTTTTGGACGTACATCATGGTACTTAAAATCTTGAAATCAACTCAACTTCATTTTCTCTTCTCCTGAGTATAATCATCTGATTTCTTAAACTACTCATCTTAAAATGTGAATTCCAGGCTGCCTAACCATCCTGGAGAGCAGAGTAGAAATACCCTGGGCTTTAGAAGGAGCAAAATGAAAGATTTCCTGAAGGAGGTGGTGGAGATGGCTCTCTGCTCACCAAAACCCACATTCTCTTCTTCCTAGCAGACATCAGTCTAGATATTCCAGCTTCCCTTGCACTTTAGTGTGGCCCTTTTTCTGAGTAAGTGAAAGCTATGTGCACCACTTCATGTTTGGCCCATAAAACCTCCTTCAGACTTTCCTTCATATTCTGTTCCCTTTCTGGTTGGCTGAAATAATAGTCTTTGGGGTATCCTTGGACACTGTCTGTTGGGATTGCAGAGTTGCAAAGCCAGGATACCTGAATCACTTTTGGTAAGATGCTGCTCAATGTCTTGTTCACCCTCTCAGTGCTTGTTCTGTGATCAGGAAATAAATTATTGTTTTTGAATTATTATACATTTTTGAATGTTTTTATTATGGCACTTAGCTTACCCTAACTAATACAAAGAATGTAAGATACAACTTGAGAAATAGACAGGACTCGATGTAACTAGGTAAGAGGATGGAATCCAGGTATAAAGGATACTGGGAGTAAAACAACTTAGAATTCATGTTCCTGGTATCATAAGAAGTTATAGTGCAACCAGACAACCATAAGGGCCAGAGTATAAAGAGAATATAGGAGGAAAATGGTCAGAGATGCATGAACAATTTTAACAAGAAACAAATGTGTGATATGTTCTGGGACTGGGAGTTAATGGTAGTTAGAAAAGGAAAAGATGTCAGATTTGTCTAATACAGACACAAGTCAGAATTGATAGAAGGCCACAGAATTGATCTGAATATATGAGAAAGAAAGATGTAAATCATAAAATCATAAATGAATTATGGGGAGAAAATTAAAACCTTGACATGAGTAAATAAGTTAGAAGAAAAATCTGAACATTACTTACTACACATTTTGAAAACTTGTTTTTGTTGAAATATCATCGATTTACAATGTGTTAATTTATGGTGTACAGCATAGTGATTCAGTTGCACATATATATTGCTTTGCATACTTTTTTCATTATAGGTTATTACAAGATGTTGAATATAATTTCCTGTGATATACAGTAAGACCTTGCTGTTTATCTATTTCATGTATAGTAGTTAGTCTCTCCCAGTTTATCCCTTCCCACCCTCTTCCCCCACTGGTAACCGTAAGTTTGTTTTCTATATCTGTGAGTCTGTTTCTGTTTTATGAATAAGTTCATTTGTGCCTTTTTCTTAAGATTCCACATATGAGTGATGTCATACAGTATTTCTTCTTTCTCTCTGGGGCTTACTTCACTTAGAATGAGAATCTCCAGGTCCATCCATGTTGCTGCAAATGACATTATTTCATTTTTTTTATGGCTGAGTAGCATTCCATTGTGTATGTATGTATCTTCTTTATCCATTCATCTGTCAATGGACATTTAGTTAGCTTCCATGTCGTGGCTATTGTATATAGTGCTGCTATGAACACTGGGGTACAGGTATCTTTTTGAATTAGAATTTCCTCCAGATATATGCCCAGGAGTGGGATTGCTGGATCATATAGTAAGTCTATTTTCATTTTTTAAGGAATCTCCATACTGTTTTCCATGATAGCTGCACCAAACTACATTCCCACCAATAGTGAAGGAGGGTTCCCTTTTCTCCACACCCTCTCTGGTATTTATTTTTTGTGGACTTTTTGATGATGGGTATTCTGATTGGTGTGAGGTGATACCTCATTGTAGTTTTGATTTGCATTTCTCTGTTACTTAGCAATTTAGAGCATTTTTTCATGTGCCTACTGACGATTTGTATGTCTTCATTGGAGAAGCGTTTGTTTAGGTCTTCTACCATTTTTTGATTGGGTTGTTATTGAGTCTGTTATTGAATTATGTGTTTGTATATTCTAGAAAGTAAGGCCTTGTCAGTCATGCTGTTTGCAAATATTTTCTCTTTTTCTGTAGATTGTCTTTTCATTTTGTTTACAGTTTCCTTTGCTGTGCAAAAGTTTATAAGTTTAATTAGGTCCCATTTGTTTATTTTTGCTCTTGTTTCTATTGCCTGCATAGCCTGCCCTAGGAGAACATTGCTAAGATTTATGTTGGAGAAAGTTTTGTCTGTTTTCTTTTAAGAAGTTCATAGTGTCTTGTCTTATGTTTAAGTCTTTAAGCCATTGTTACACATTTATATTACCTTTATTTCTCATAAACTGAATAGAGGTGGCTGGGACTTGAATTCTAACCCTCTGCAGATTCATGAGGGAGGTATCTACATGTGTCACATCAGAAAAATACACATCATGCCTCACGGTCTAGAACTTTGCAGAAGTCTTATCCCTAATGTGTTGGGCTGGATCCACTGTAAGGTATAATAAATCAATACTTTGCTCTTATCACTGAAGATCTGTATTAAAGAATTCCCTTTATACTCTCTTCTCCCTAGATCTGCACCTTATCTTGATACCTTATCATTATGTTAGTATAAGAAAAAGGGGAGTGGGTACGGATACATGAGGAAGAGAAGATGATCTGCCAAAAATAGAATCAGTGGAAAGAAGGCATGTTTCCCTAATGCTTAGAACCTTGCTAGAACAGGGTCAGGGAAGAAGGGCTATGAAGGGTGCCTCCCCAGCATGGAGAAGTTACACACCCATTTGTCGTGTCAGAGAGAAGGCCTTTTGAAAGGTAACAAGGAACCAAGAGAGAATAAGTGCTAGATAAAGAAATAAAAAAAAAAGGAGTTTTTAAAAATCCCAAAATGAAGGGTACTATAGGCTGAATGTTTGTGTTCTCCACAAAATTCATCATAGTGAAACTTAATCCCCAATGTAATGATATTTGGAGGTGGGGCCTTTGAGAGGTGAGTATGTCATGATGGTGGAGCCCCGTGAATGGAATTAGTCCCCTTATTAAAGAGACTCCAGAGAGCTCTCTAGTCCCCACCACTATGTGCGGACACAGTGAGGAGACAGCCATCTGTGAACCAGGACCCTGCTCTCAGCAGACAATGAATCTGTCAATGCCTGGGTCTTAGACTCCCTAGCCTCCTCCGGAACTGGGAGACGTAAATGTTTGTTATTTAAAAGCCACCAAGTCTATGGTATTT